GCATGGCGATCCGATAGATAGCATGTACTGACGGGATACCAAAAGTACCATCGTCCTCTTCCTCTAGGCTCCTTTCGGCATGCCGGCCCCGACGCAAGGCACACTTCGCCTCGGCACCCAGCGGCTCCGCAGAGGACCCGGCCGCGCTGGAATTCGAGTGGATCTGCGCTGGGCCCAGCAGGAAGTGAGGGTATTGTGGGAGTCGCATTCTCGTTTGGAGTTGGGCTTCTATTGGTGGCCTTGACTTGGCGGCAGAGGTTGCGTGCATTCCTCGGCGAACTTTCATATTTATGGGGTTCTGTGTAATGCAGCGGCTGCACCTCCAAACTCAACCCAGTAAAAGGAAAAACAATCACCAGAAGACAGGAGCTACATCTTCGGACCCTGCAGCAATACCTAATTGAAGCAACGGCAACAGACAATTGACAATCACGAGACGCCCCGCGAACGTGGATGGGTAGATGGGTAGATAGGTGAACCTTTGCCAGTCGTTCCATGTGTGTACAAATCGCATGATTTTATGTGCAGCACATATGCATGACCCAGGCTTATGTGGAGAGCACATATTTGTGTACATTTATATGATTTATATGTGTATGCATGCGCACACATATGCATGCATGCCTGTAGGTACGTGGGTATGTATGTATGTATGTATGTATGTATGTATGTATGTATGTATGTATGTATGTATGAGTAAGTGAATGAATTAAATGAAGTGAAGTGAAGCGAAGTGCTGTGAAACGAGATGAACATGAACTGCAGTGAATGGTTGAATGAATGAAAGAGCGAGTGAGTGAATGAATGAATGAACGAATGAATGAATGAGTGTATGATTGAACGGAATGGAATGGAACGGAATGGAATGTGAAATAGAGTTAATCGGGATGAAATGGAAAGGAAGGACGGCAGGAAGGAAGGAAGGAAGGAAGGAAAGGAAGGAAGGGTGAACGATCAAACAAGTAAGCTAGATCATCAATAACGAACGAATGAATGCATACCTATGCGTGGGTGCACATCTGCCTGCATGGGTATGTATGTCAAAATGCATATGCATCTATATGAGTCTCAGTCAACCTGTGTGTTTGCATGGACCTGAATGTATTTGTGTGTGTATTCGCATGCAAGCCCACCGTCATGATTGTACTCGTATGTGCGCAGCTTGGTGTTTTTGTTAGTGTAACAGTGCAACTATGTACAGCTGTCTGCCAACCAGGCTTGCAAATAGTGCATGCCCTCACCCATAAAGCTATGTCCACTGCGTGGCGACTTTCGGAAAGAGGATCGCCCCGAATCCCTCACCGAGGTCGAGACCTAGACTTTCTTGTTGAGCTCTTGAAGCCCCATTTGCCTCAGGCAGGCTCGAAGATGAATGCGCTAGCGGAAGCAGTAGTGCATGCAGCGACAGCTGTAGCAGCAGATTCGCTGTCGGCGTGTCATGAAGCTGAGTTTAGGGTTTAGGGTTAGGGGTCTTAGACAGAGACTTGCCACTGCAGGCTGGAACGATTCTCCATCCGGGTGGCGGGATGCTCGGGACTCGGAGGAAAGCAACTTGGTTCCTTTGCCGCAACTTCTTCGACGGGAGGTCGCTACTTCCAGTTCGCCTTCAGCGCCAGGTTTTGTCCTTGGAAAGCAACAGTCCCAAACGTTCAGTTGGCTTTTCCTTGGCCACTGTGAGGTGCCCGGGCTGCAAATCCTGAGCCTCGACTCCAGCCCACTGCCCAGTTTTGACGGTTCCCGACAGAAGGCACAGTTGCGTGTGGAGCTTCACAGCAATCACGAGGTGCCAGCTGCACATCTTTGATGCGCGAAAGGCACGGTCACCAGAAAGGCTTGCATTGGAAGGCCGGAACTTCTTTTTCTCTCTGATTTGCACTTCGCTGCCTGGGCTCTCAGGTGGCGAATGTTGCCCGACTGGATGCAGAAACGCCGCTTCTCCAGGACTGGAGGCCATTTGATGCAGTGGTGGAGAAAGGCTGCAGGTCGCCCAGCCACCTCTCCAGTCGCAGATCTGAACCCACTTGCCTCCTTGGCAAGCGGTCCTCAGGTCTCGATGCCCTCCTCTGCAAGAGCGATGAGGAGGCTTTGCAAGTTGCACCACAGGAGGTCATTGCTGGCGTTCTCTTGGCCTGCTGTAACACCTTCGATGAATCGCGGTCCTCGTCGCTTCACTCAGTGTTTCGACCATGAACAGTGAAGGCAGACTCTTCGGAGCATGAACCGAAGCCCCAACCCCTGAACCCTCGATCCCCGAACTGAAAGCCCACAACCCAACTCCGAAGCCCTGAACCCTCAATCCCGAAACCTTGAAGCCAAAACCCCTCTACAGCAGGGACAAAACATGTTCAGCCCTGCCATGGCCACGGTCCACTGAAACGCCACCTTCTCAAAGCGGAGGAGGGGCAGTGGCATTTGAGGTCGGGGTCTAGGTCCTTCAGGTTTAGGGAAGTTTTAGGAATAGGATGTTTTGGGTTTTATGGTCGTTTGGTGTCGTGTCACCTCGAAGACACTATCTTCCCATCTTCCGCAGTTACCATGCAGGCATGCGCACTCTTCTATACAGAGTTGCATGCGTGCATGTAGCTATGTCGGCGTACATGCATTCATGCATGCAGATGCATGGATGCATGCATGGATGGATGGATGGATGGATGGATGGATGGAGGTATTTGCATATGTGCGGCACCACACATGAACATGCCAAAAAGCATGACTGCAAGCATGGCTGCAAGCACGCCCGCATGCAATGATTTACGAATGCCGGTGCAGTTGGGTATGTATCCGTAGATGCCTTTCAGCATGTGCGTATACAGCATACAACCTGTTAGGGCCATACACCGCGCCTAAGTTACAGCGCGCTTTTCTGCAGGTTTTCTGGTTTGGAGGCTTTCGCATTAGACTCTGGGCGCTTCAAGGACAGGACTTTGCTTTGGAGGTGCCGCCAACTTAATCTGAAAACATGGGCTCTGAACCCACGCCTGCCATGCCTGCCAGCAAAAGCCTATATATATATATATATATCTATATCTATATATATATATTTGTATGTATGCCTCTGAGAATGACATTCAGGAGCCATGTAGAGAAAACATACGACGCCCTAAGTTTCAAGACTACGTGGTTGTATGTCTAGCTGTACACAACTCGCGTGCGTGCGTTGTGAGTGCAGGTACGTATATATGGCTTTTAATGTATGAACGCGCGTGTGTGTACGCAGTTCCGCAGGATCTGCACTGGTGCCTTGTGGCATGTGACACTTCAATGCCCTAGTCCCCTGACATACACCAACCGGAACAGGAGTGGCCGGGGTGGGCCAGCTGCGGCCGACTGACATCGAAGAAACAACCCAGAAAGAGCCGGATCTAAGGATGTTTGGGAAAATTGGAGTCTAGGTTATTCAAGACGAGTTGGCAACAATACATGGAGGCTAAACGGGTTGTTGTACCATTATCGACCAACGAACCGGACACCATGCCTCATGACTTTTGCACACTAAGAGCTGTAAGTTAGGGTGTAGCACCACGGCCATCGGCATGTCTTTTGTCGGCGATATGGCGCCTCCAGATGACGGCGAGGCATCTTGAAGTGAGTTTCGTTTGTATGCCGGACAAAGCCCGATGGGTGTGCATAGCTTCCAAGGCAGAGGAGGTGCACGAGGACTGGGAAGAAGTGCCAATTTCCGGTGAGATATGGACGTGCAGGGCCCAGTGGGGAGAGAATCTCATGGCACGGAGCTACACTCCGTTTCGGCTTTGCGCTTATGCGTCCGGCAACTGACAGACGTAGGTGTGCACAGAGGACTTGGCAGGTGAGACAGGCAAGCTCGGCATTGGCTTAGCCAAGAGTATCGCAAGCATGCATTAGGAAGGTTTGGTACTATGACGTGCCTAATGTGCTTGGCTATGCCATGCCACTCTAAGTCCTTACATGCCAGAAGCAGCCACGGTTTTGGTGTTCGGTGGGGTGTGTGTCAACACGCTTTGCAGCCTGTAAAGACAGCACCAGGCAGCGCATCGACACCAAGCCCTTGCCGTCCTACGCCTCCACGCGGCTGAAGGAGGACACTGCTTCTCAAAAGGCCTTTTTGGGCAAATCTCCGCAGTCGGGATTCTTGTAGGCTTTGACATGTAGCTATCGGGAGTCCACCACGGATCTGCATAGGAGTGGCAGGTTCAGTCCAGGGAGGGGGGCTGGCAGAACCGTGGCAATATCAAAGTGGCCATGCCAATCGAACTAACACCACTTAACGCACAGTAACAACAACCAGGATGGCAACTGTTTTGACACGTGCTGTTACATGCTGTCCCAGAAGCCTAGCCGCGGTAGTTTCAAGAAGGTAATGCCAACAACCTCTCTACCCCCTTCATCGCCTCCGCTCTATAGTGAGACTCGCATTGTGTTATTATGCAACGGGCACCAAACGCCAAGATGTGACCTCAGCCCAGCGCTGGGGATACCTTTCTCTCTATCTTCTGTTTAGCTCCTTCTCTGTCTCTCTCTCTCTCTCAGTTTGTGGTTTTTTTCTTCTCTCTCTCTCTCTTTCGCTTGCTCTCCCTGTCTGCGCTTGCGTGCTGATGTCAGTCGTAACATTAGATGGAGTATTTCTGGTACGGGTAAGAACTAAGAGCAATAGTATCGTTGGATATATATATATATATATATATACATACACACGTAACATATATATATATATATACACATATATGCTACCCCCCCTCCCAAAGCCCACGTTTGAAAGGAAAACACTGTCCACAGTGTGTTAAACAGCACATTTTCCAGCCATCGGGGGCAACATAGCTTCCAGAGGCTCATTTCATTTTTTGGACACAAGTAATATGAAATAATTTATGAATGAACAAAGGTCACAGGTTTAGTGGCAGCTATTGCCAGTTATATATTATTGCCACTAATGCTACAGATACTTTTATTAATGCCACTGTTACAGTGCTATTAGTAATTTTAGATAGTACTGCTTATACTCTAAGTTATGCACCAAATTACACAAAGCGTGGTCACTTGTGCACACACTGCGTGCTTGTATACTAAGCGCCCGATCAATTCTCCGTAATTCAGCGGCAAATTCAGAAGCACGAA